GTTATTTAGAATTAACTCCTGTTAAAAAGGTTGTTATGTTGATAGTGTTGTAACCAATTTTGATTGTTATTGTAATTTGTAATTCTTTGTAAGTAGTGATAGTGATGTAAGTAACTTGTAATAAGTAATAAAGTCCGCGTGACTCACTAATAGCTGCTGTACAAACAAAACGAAAGGTAGTCAAGCAATTCATACAAACCTGTCTCAGTATAAATTTAAAGTATTAAAAATCAGCTCTACTTGTTATATGTGCACCCAACGCTATCAGTCATAGACATCTTACAGTTTATAAACTTACCGTGTTCAGTTTCTCACTCCTCTGAGGAAAATAAAACCAAAAGTGATAGAAACTGAAACAACACTGAGGGAGTTTCCCTGCAAGACAATAGGAGGTCCAATAGGAAGTCAAAACAAATTAATATTGAAATAAGTTTTAAACGTTGCGCAAACCGATAAAATAAGAACATTCCAAAGTAAGTTACATTTTTGCTATCCCCATTCCTTGTTAAACGCTGACGGTAAAGTTCAATTGCTTTTAGAGCATATTGTGTCTTTGACCATAGCTAATAATCAACGAAATGGTTATCAAGCTAGACAAAGTTCTTTATTCTATGTTGTTGTTCGCTCTTTGCCTTAAACGCATAAAACACAGTAGGTGTTAACTCAATTCTGTTCTGATTTACCATCAGAAACATTTCGGTTATCTAATTTATACACCATGGAAAGATTGTTCACAGTCCTTGACCATCCAACATAAATCTTGGCATCTGTTTGCTCTTTTGAAACTTCTCGGGCTTAAATACCATTCCAGTTTACTATTAAACTCTGTGTTTGCTGATTAATTAAATTTACATTCCACGCCGGTTCCTGTCACAGACAGACTGACTTGCTCTGAAGAGAAATAAGACAACTAATGAAAGCTACTTTTGCCATCGATCCGTGGTACTGAAAATATGGAAGACCGTGAATTCACTTTTCCTCAGTTTTTACTTTATGGTGTACGATTTGATTGATTTCAAACTCCCGTTTTTCGATGGCAACAGACATCAGAACCGACAGAGCCACAAACTTTGTTGTTTACTAGCAAACAATGGAGTATGCAATTGATCATCACTTTATGATTGTTTGAATTTCGTGGTTATCATAATAAAGCTATCTATTATTCCAACTGGTTAAGATAGGAACTAGACGATGCAAACTTAGCTAGAGCTGTACTTACCACGTCGGAAAGTGAAACTACGAAAACTGCTCTAGGCGTTCTAGAAATTTCTAGAAAACACTGATTATCATAATACGTCAAGCATGGAAGATGCATTTTGAAGTTTCTGGAGTGTCAAAACGTCAGCTTGACAGGATGAAAATCCAGCTGGGATTTGGAAAGCGGGATTCGGGATGAGAGCAGCATGTGTTCAGTTCAACCGGAAATGCGAGATAAATGTGAAATTGAGGGACGGGATGCGGGTTGAAAAAAAAATACAAATCACGGTTACGAAGTGACTGGAGGAATTAATTTACCTTTCGGGAGTGCTTGGAAACATTACTGAGTTAAAAAGAAAAAGTTTTTAAAACAGATTGCCAGTCTTGTCTCGGTCGTACCAACGTCGCTACTTATAACTGGTTTTCATTAGTCTTTAAATACATGACTCAGAGTTAAAAGTAGTTAGTGATTGGCTTCGACGTTTCGGTCACTAATTCTCTCAGGGTCTGAATTTGCATCGAAAAAGAAAATTGACTGTGAACAGTTTACATCATTATTTCAGTCTGCTATGAATAAGTTATAACTAAGCTAAAATCATTATTTATACTCGCTAGCTTTGGTGAGTCACCAGAGTAAAACCAAAACCAATACGCGTCAATAACAGGACCTTTTTCTCCTAAAAAAACGGTGATTCCAAACAATCATTTGTGTGACCTAATTTTTCGCGTGACTCACTTTTGGCGCTTACAGCAGGAAGAAAATCAGTCACGCTATTCGTGACGTCTCTTCCAATGTAAACTCTAGATCTTGTGTATGTGCACGCTACTAGTCACAAATAGCTTACAGTTTATAAACTTACCGTGTTCAGTTTGTCAGTCTTCTCCAAAAAGTGAAACCCAGAGTGATAAAAACTGAAACAGCACTTAAGGAGTTTCCCTGCAAGACAATAGGACGTCCAATAAGAAGTCAAAACAAATTAAAATTAAAGTAAGTTTGAAACGTTCAGCAAAACAATCGAATAAACACATTCGAAAGTGAGTCACATTTTCCTATTCACATACTTTGTTGAATGCTGACGGTAAAGACTTATAGTTTTCAGAGCATATCGGGTTTTTAACATAGCTATTATTCAGTATAATGGTTTTCTAGCTGGACGAAGTTCTTTCAATTGTTGTCTGTTGTTGTTCGCTCTTTGGCTTACCCATGCATAAAACACCTTAGGTGTTAACTCAGTTCTGTATTACAAGTTGACCTCCAGAAACGTTTCAGTTATCTAATTAATACACTTTTGAAACATTTTTCACAATCCTGGACCTTCCCATCTAAATCTTAGCATCTCTGTTTGCCCTTTTAAAACACCTAGGGCTGAGAAACCACTCCAGTTTTTTTTTTATTAAATTCTGTGTCGGCTGATTAATATAATTTACATTCCTCGATGAAACAACTAATGAAAGCTACTTTTGCGATCGTTTTGTTGTAAAATATGGAAGACCGTGACTTAACCTTTCGTCAGTTTTTACTTTACGATGTATTTTGTATGATTTGGTCGATTTCCAACTCTCGTTTTCCCATGGTAACAGACGTCAGAACTGACAGAGTCAAACACTGTTGTTAACTAGCAAACAGTGGACTGAGCTTGCAATTAACCGTCACTTAATGATGATCTGAATGTCCTGGCTATCATAATCAAGCTCTATATTATTCTAACTCGTGAAGATAAAAACCAGACGATGCAAAGTTAGCTAGAGCTGTACTTACCACGGCGGAACTTGCTTTGGAAAGTGAAACTACCAGAATCGCTTGAGGGGTTCTCAACTTTTCGAGGAAATATTGATTATTATAATACGTCGTGCATGGAAGTGTTAGGTGCAATATTGAATGCGGGATACGGGATTAAAATATCTTGGCGGGAGCAGCATGCGCTTATTTCAAC